GGTCTTTGGTTCATACTAGATATTTTACCTGCTTATAGCTTGGGAAGCGCTTTTATGTACCAATATTCTTTACAAATGATAACATGCAATTCTTGAATTCTTAGAAGGTCCTAGACCTTATTGAAATGATTAGTGGGTGATATAAGGTGACTCATAATAAATACTTCCTGTACTGCAATTAATATTTAATAATAATCAGTTGAACAACAAATAGGGTAACTTCACTAAGTCAAACAAAATCTATGGCATAATTTAGTTGGGTGTTATATTTCTATTTTATAAGTTTTACACTTGCTGTATTTTCCAAATGTTTTAGATAAGGTTAAAGTGATTTTATTTATTCCCTTCAGATTCATTTAAAAAAGCAAATATAATGATTTATGACACAACTCACTGAATAGTTTTCATAGCACATTTACTTGAAACCAGCCAAAGCCAGTGCCTCCTAACAATTCCAGCTTCCTCAGACTGCGGAATGTGAGACTTGGCGAAGATAATGGTTTAAGAGATTCCTAAATGCTTTAGTACAATGAGTGTCCCAGAGCACTTCCCTTGCTTCCCACTGAGGTTTCAGTTGTAGTCAGAGCCATCATTAAACATTTGCTTGGTATTTCTTTGGGGGTTGTGGCATATTTTAAAAACTTGGACAGGGTGACACGCAGTGGAGAAAAGTAAATTAGAAACAGTTGGAACATTGAGTATGTGCTAGGAGCTATGCTAAAACTATTTTCTCTGTGTTCTCACATCATATTTGCCCCTTAATAAGTTTTGTGTCACTCTCTTATCATCTCACTGCTAAAACTGTTTTTGCAAAAGTCATGAATTACCTCTTTTGTTGCAAAATCTATTGGCCTCTTTTTAGTCCTTTGGCTGTATCTCGGATCATTTGCCGCTTAGGTGTTCCCTTCTCAGAACTGCTCTCTCGTTCTTCTAACCCGCTTCTTACCACCTGTGCCGCTGCTGCTTGGTTTCCTTTGCAGGTTTCTTCACTTCCTCTGCCTCCCTTGTTGGTGCTCTGAGAGTTTAGTCCGAGGCTTTCTTCTCTGGCCGTCTCCTGGTTCATTCTGTCTACTTTCATGACTTCATTTACCAGTACTAAAAGCTGATGGCTCTCATGTTTTGTGACCCCACAGCAGGTCTCTCCCCCAACACCAGACCCTTGTGTTGTAGGACTTCTGTGCATGTCTCCACTAGGAGTGTAAACAGGAGCTGCAAGTTTGACCTGCCCCATGTCCCAAACTAAACTCATCTTCCCTTCCCCTGCCGGATTTACTTCTCTTCCTGTGTTTTCTATATCAATAAACTTCACTATTATTCTCCCTGTCGGTTGCCACAACGAGAAACTGAAGAATTGTCCATGATATCTTGACTGCTGTCTGTTTCCTCAACTAAGTTTTTAAATCCTGCCTATTTGCTCTCCTTAATACTTGTTGCGTATGTCCACCCTTCTCGATTTTGATTAGCACAGCCTTGGTTTAGTATTCTGTCACTTCTTATCTGAATCATCATAACTGTCTCTTAACTGGTCTCCGTGTAGCCAGTTTTGCTCCTTCCATTCTGGTATCTATTTTATAGTCAAAGTGACTTTTGTAAAATTCATTCTTGAATGGTTCCTCAGAATACAGCACAGAAACCTCATTATGGCATATGAGACTCTTGAATATATGGTACTGCTTAGATCTTTGAATCTCATATTTCATCACTTGTTCTGTGATTAACTCGTGGTAATCTTCAGCACCTGTTCCCTGCTGTTCCAGGTGAGCTCTCCTTCACTTCTTTGTGCTCTTGTGGCACACTGTGTTGAACTCTAAGACAACATATTACAATCATTTGTTTTCTTTTATTTTTTCCTGAGGAAGATTTGCCCTGAGCTAAACATCCATTGCCAATCTTCCTCTTTTTGTTTGTGAGCCACCACCATCGCATGGCCACTGAGAGACGACCAGTGGTGTAGGTCCACGCCCAGGAACCAAACCCTGGCTGCCAAAGTGGAGTGTGTCAGACTTAACCACTAGGCCACCAGGGCTGGCGCCAATCATTTGTTTTCTTATTCTTCATTACACTTTTAGTATTGATGGATAGGGACTATGGTTTTTTTCCATATATACTTATTTCTTGTAAGTATTTAGCATAGGACTAAATATTGTAGGTATGCAGTAGAAATATTGAGTGAGTTAATGAGTCACTAAAGGAAGATCAATAAAATCTACATTCTACTCTCAAGTATCTCACTGCCTAGGGAGAAGTTTTGCAGGTACAAATGATTTTTAAAACCCATCAACAAACAATTACAATATAGTGTGGTATGAGCTATTAAAAGTCATGTTTTCAAGTAGGAAATGACTAAATGCAAATATCTCAAGGGACTGTCTCTTCAAGATATGTAATAGAATTCCACAGAAATGTTCATAGCATTCAACTGTGTTTCTTTGAATTGAGGCCTTATTGTAACACTTAGATTACTTTATTGACTTTTTACAACTTTACCCTGTCTCTTGTTTTGTCAGTTTTATGAGGACTCAACAAAAGTGAGAAAGGATGTATTAAATTTTTGGATATCTGTTTGGCTAGCTAGGAGGCCTGAGGGTTATTGCTTATTTTTCTTTTCCTTTCTGAAACTATTACAGTAATTTCTGTTGTCTAATAAGATTTCAATTGATTCTGGCCTCTGACTTTATGCTTTATAATTAACTCACTAGTTACAAGAATTATAGTGGGTTTTTTTTCCTATCTAAAACAATTTAAGAGGACATAATGCATTTTTAAGAACTTGGGTCTGTTACTTTTATGATCCCCTAGATTTAAAAATGCCATTGTGGTTTAATTTTCCTCATAATAATGGAGCAAAATAATGTTGAAAAAATTAATGACCCCTTCTGATTTTTAAATTTTAAATGACTGTGTGTCAGGGACTGTTAATGTTGCTTAGAATAGTGAGCACTTGTGAACATTAACTCTGTGATGGCAGGGGCAGGATCTTTTTAGCTGGTTTTCAGATCTGGGCCCTAGAATTCTGAGGGTGTCTAAGGAGCTGAGCCCGCAGGGAAGGCGAGGAGCGGGCGTCAGGCTGCTGGTGAAGTTCTGCAGCCCTTCCTTGCATTTTCCGCTTTTCGCTCATATCAACTGCTTTTATCTGTGATCTATTGGAGTTTTTAAAAAGATATTATTAAAGGGGGAAAAAACTTCTAAAATACCTTGAAAACCATTGGTTCACTTGATGCAAATATTCAAGGAAATCACCTTGTTGACAATTGAGAAAACTCGCAAAAATAGAAAATGTGTATTTCTTTCACTGACTACTCTTTCCATGTGTCACCTACAGTAACATCCTCAAAGACAGTGAGGGGAGCTGTACATTTAAAAGTACTAGGCAAGCAGAGGGTCCTGTCTCATCTGTTTTCCATCAAAGACTTTCAGTTGCCATGTGCTGTTTCCATTGTCTAGTCATTAGAACCTGTGAACCAGGGCCTGACAAGGTTGGGGGCATGAGGTGGAAATTTAGGGGATGGTGAGAAACAGAATTTTAATGCTTCTTAAGAGCAGGGGAAAGGGTTGCTGATCTTCCCAGTGTCATGATGTTCATATCATAATGGTAAGTAGTTTCATGCCAGGAAGCTGAAGGGTTAGGTCAGAGTTTTATAGAGTTTTTGGCCAAAGGCTGTTCTAAGAGAAAAGTTAATGTTTAAAGGTGCTGACCATTGCCCTAACTTACTCTTCCATTCTTTTGGTCCCTTACTTCTCTCCCCTGCCCCAAATAGGGTTATCCTAGATGCAAAAATCCAGGCCACTACCATAGTAACCACACAAATAGAGCACAAAGGGGAGTGCTATTTGCTTTAATTTCATGGTGATGGAAGGAAAACTACACGTGGAGATGCATATAGGTGACATAGTTGATGGTACAAAAATGTGTCTATAAGTGAGAGGCTGGAATGGACTTTGCCTATAAAATAATTTGTTTCTTAAGAAGCAGAATCTAGGGAATAACAGCATCTTTTAAACACTTTAAAAAGTTGGCAGTGTTGATTCAAAATGCTATTTAAAAACTCACTTTCAAAATATTTTTTTGGGAAACTATAACTGTCAATTTGAAGGATGAGATTCTTTTCAGCAGAGCTTGTAAAAATATCCATTGCCATATGTGAAGCAGGTTTAGGGCAGTTTATCATGGATAGATGAGTTTGTCAAATACATACACACATCCACCCCTTTTTTGGCCTCAAAGGAGAAATTCCAGGACCATAGATAAAGAAATATTGTACATTTTTACAACACTTCTCACAGATAAGTAGACGTTTTATTAATACACATATTAGGAGGAAACAGTAGTTAAAGAATAGGGATTAATCATAGTTGGGTCAAAGATAGTATTGGACGTTATCAAGGTTTCCTGGACTTGGTTAGAGTTGGGGCCTTAGCAAATGGTTGATAAGAACATCATTCAGAAGGGTCTGACTCATCCTTTATTCTGCTAGTGATTTTACAAGGCTCGTCATCTTCAATAAAGGCAACCTTACTGGGCTCACACCATTTTAGTAGCTACAATAGCTTCATTTCTAATTATAAAAGCAGTATGTGTTCATAATTAGAATTGTCTTTGGTTTTACTACCCAAAGAGAACCTCTGTGAATACTTTGGTGTGTCTTTTTTTGTATGATGGTGCATGTCATATACAAAAGATGTATGTATAGTACATTTTTATATAATGTGCATACAGAAATTAAAATTGGAATCAAACTATGCATATGGTTTTATAAACTGCATTTTTATTTCATTCATTTAACAATTATTCTTTGTGTGCCTGCCATAGTCTAGGGATTTTCTGTCTCATTAAATGTTCCTTGAAAGCATGACATTTAATGACCTTTTAATATTCCATTACATCATGATTTATTTAACTTTCTCTTATTGTTGGACATTTACATTGTTTTGGTTTTTTTGCTGTTATAAACAATATTAAATCATTATCTTTTTACCTCTCTAATTCTTTTCTATTTCAGTTTATCTGAAGCATTATTTCCTGAAGAAAAAGTCCAGGAAATGTAGTTATATCCTAATAATCTTCAATTTAATGGCACTATGTTTGGGGAAAATTGGATGAACTTAAGCCTTTATAGAGCCCAAACAATGGGATGTTCAGGAGAAAATGTAAGCCATAGTTACCATGATCGCCTTTTCAGTGATCCAGCATTCTGGATGGCTTTTAAGTGGTCTAGACTTCAACATCACTTTAGTGTAGGTGTATCAAGTCTCTAACATAGTGTGATTGCCCAATATCTAACAGATGTTTGTTATGACAGAGGTGTCATTGTGAAGTGAGTCATTCCTTTCTCATTACTGTTCTCAGAGATATCTGAGATATCGCAACACCCAATTCTTATGCATAAAACAGCTTTTTGAGCCTAATTATCTCACACGCTTCTGGGTCATTGATGCTATAAAAACATTCCACTGCACCATGACTCCACTGAACAAAAGATAGGAAAAATTTAAGAGAAAAGAAAATTCCTACAGTGCATACATATTCTATTGTGATGTATGATAATCAACAAAATTTGCTTTTATTAAATTTCCAACTATGTATGGTATGTGGTTCTTTTAAATACACCTTGCAGTAGCTAATGGCTATAAGGTGAAAGATAACCCATATTTCTTTCTCTCCCTTCTCTCCCCTCCCTCTTCCGCTCTTGAGTATGTGTGTGGGTAGGTGTGTGTGGGTGCAGGACGCACTCACATATCTGTTTTTTCAAATATTCCATTTGGTTCATTTCAGTCATTTGTAGTATCCATAAGTATTTAGTCACGTGTTTAATCTTCCCATGAAATGCTTCAGAGATTCATCATATGAAATCATAGGTTTCTCGTTAGTGCTAAGTCGTAGCAAATTATCATCTTTTTAAGGTTGATTTTGTAGAGTGTTAAATGGTATTTAAATTTCCTTTAGATATGAAGCCATTTATTTTTCTCCTAATCACTTAAAATAGCAAGAACTAATCAACTGGAGTTTTTCTCATTTTTAGAAATACCCAGTCTACCCCTGACTTCACGTGCGTGTTTCTGCCTTTAGGTCAGTGGGAACTTTTTCCAGCCATGTTTTCTTTTTTCCCTTCATTCCTAATTTCTCTCAGGAACAAATGGTAGTATAGTTAAGCATTAGAAACTTGTTGCTGAAGGTGCTAACCTAAACATCAGTGCCAGGATACGACTGAGACTTAATAGACTAATTAATTTGTCTACTGCCCCCCTGACCTGGGAATTACGTATAATGGGCTGTACTTATGGAACTGAGAGTCTGGGATCCAAAGAAGAGAAAATGCAACTTTTGTGTGCTTTATACATCAACATGCAATTAATACAGTGTTCTTTTAGAAAAAAAATTTTTCAAAATGGAACTTTATTCCACCACATGTTTTGAAAGTACAATACTGCAAGATTCTGTGTGTCTTTTTGTTTTAGCTTTCTATCTTTTTGATTTATAGTAGTACTAAACAAGACCCTCACATTATTTGATCCAAATATGCTGTTGACCTCTGGAGGAGCCAATTGTCTAGAATGTCACAGTTGCTGTATTATCTATTCTAATGTAATATGTTCTCCTAACAACCACAAAAACTCCTAGAAAAAATAGGAACTTAAAGCTTGAATGATATTTTAAAAAGTGTTTGTGTTCTGAATTCCTGACTATGCTGTTCATGCTTCTTTCAGTAAGCAGATTAGTTTTATTTCCTCATATTTCTTTTCTCACTGTTTCTTCATTTTAGAGACAGTTAAATATACTTCAAAGGCAGTTAACATTTGACTGCCACTGAAGTCGTGGCTCTGGACAGAAGCTGAATCAAATAAATCTATTTGTATTAGCCTGTCAGTGTATGGGTTATGCATCTCTTTGGATCTTGTGAACTTACGGAGGTATCAAACTGTTTCCTGTTAGGATTTTATTTAGAATGGAGTTTTAATATTTTGGTAGTTTGTGGATTTGGAAGCATTTATTAGACCACCAAATGTCTCTTCAGCACATGGCAGGCACTCTTCTAGGCACTGCTGATGATGTGGTGAACCAGGCTGATGGTTTCCAGCTCTGCTGAGGCTTACGGTCCAGTATCGGAAGTCACACACAAAGTAAACCCAAGGAGTAGTGATATCACTCAAGACAAGGCTGCCTACTTAGGCACACAGTGAAACAGGGTGAAAGGAGAGAGTGACTGGAATGTGTGAGATGCTATGTTAGCCGAAGAATTTAGGGAATGGCTTTCAGGGAGGCAATATTAGGGCTGAGAACTAAACAGTGCGACAGTAGCCTTTGGGTAGATGCTGTTCTCATTCAGTTATTGGCAGTTACTTTACCTGAAAGGACATGCAAGATTTCATAGACTTCCCAGCATAGGCGTAATGCGTGGGTGGACGTGGTGGAGACTCAGAGGACCTTAGCAGGATGAACAAAACAAAGAGATAGTGGCATATGATTCACGGGGAAAACCCTTTACCTTTCTAATGTTCTGTTGCCTCTAGTAGTGGAGTGAAAGGTTTAGTTTTTTTGTGCCTTTTTTTGTTGTTGTTAAAATATAATGTGAGCCTCACCTTGAATTTTTTTTTCATGCAGTTATTTATTATTTTGTTTTATAGGTTTCAAAGTGGTCAAGAGAGTGAATGTATCTGAAGTGGATCTGTCTTGTATAAATCATCAGCAGCATTGTATGCAACAGATATCAGCAGCATATTTATCTGGTTGGTATTCTAAATCAAGTTTGCCATGATATACACCTCATAGAAATTAAGTTGGTGATATTAAGAGAAAAACTATAAAATGAGTTTGTGTGTCAAGTTATATTGCGGCAATTCACCATATGTCTAACCAGGTCACATAAAAGTTAGTTAAGGTGTGAAAGCAGTAATTTAAATTCCTCGGGGCGTGGAGGGAGGCACTAGTGAAGGCAAGAAGTCAAATGGCATAGAGGCCAAACAGAAAGAGTGACTGTAGACTTTATTTACTGCCTTCAAGTGAATTTCACTTGTACCCATTTTCAAAGGAAAGCCTGATGAACAGGTCTGTTTGTATCCCCTCAGTTTGACAGGTCGGGGTGGGCAGGTGAGATGGAATTCTGTTATCTCTGAACACTTAGTGTTTGAAAGACATTCCAAGATCAGTAGCTAGATAAACATGGTTTCCAGTTTAGGCTTTAAAATATTAATCTTGACCTGTTTCTTCTTGTTTTTACGTTGAGAACTGCAGTTTTAAAGATAGAAAAAAGTATTTAATGTATTCCAGAACTAAGAATGGATTTGACTTTCAGTAAAGATCATGTTAAATGTTGATATTGCTCAGAGTCCTTTCCTTGGCTCTCCTCTCTTCTCCCTCAGTTTACTTGTTTTCATCCACACCTGGGCTTTCAATGGTCATGATTCCATTCCCTGCATCTCTTAGGTCAGATCCTCATAATTTCTCAGTTATACTCAAATAGCTTCCTAACATCTATCCCCTTTTCCTCCTTCCAAACTGTCTACCATTCCATCAGCTGAAGGGATATGTGATCCTACCACTCTCCCCTCCATGACCCCCAGCGCCTCCAGGATTATGCCCTGTGGCATATAGGGCCCTTCAACTTCATCAAATCCTTGCCAACGATTCTCCCCTTGTCACTTGTCACTACCCTTTCTGTACCTACACGTACAGCCTATGAATTTTCTGTAGTTCCTCAATTTATGTGCTGACTTGTTCATGCATGATTCTCTTCCTTTGTACTTGCTGTTCCCTCTTTCTTGAATGCCATTCCTCCCTTTTGTTTACTTGGCAGATTTTTATTTAGCCTTAATGATTTCATTTAAAGCAACTATTTCTTTCTCTGTCATACTTTCCCTAGCAGAGTTAGGTAGTTCCTTTCTGTCCTCTCATAATGCCTTGAATACATTTCTGATTTGATTCTCAATATCCACCTTAAAATGTTTTCATGTCTCTCTTAGTGTTCTGTAATTTCTTTATGGACAGAGCTTAAGTATTAGAGATTCAGTTGTCATGTGTTGAATGAACAAATTGATAACTGCTCTATGTTTAGTACTGTGCCATTTATAGTAGAAGAAAACTTAGAGGAATATGATTTCATTTCTATCCTCATAAGGTTGTGATTTTATTTGGTGGGCAAAGAACACGTGAAATAGGGAACACAACATAAAGCATAGTATACAAATGAATTATTCATATTTTAAAAGTATGGTATATGTATGTGTACATACACACAGTGGGTGGGGGGACGGGCAAAGATCAAGTTTAAGTTATGAGACAGGCTTCATGGACTAGATAAGAGTTTAATGGGATAGGGAGGGAGCTGAGGTTGGAAACAGCACCATGGTCTGAGGTTGAGCAGAGTTGTAGCTATTGGATTGATGAGTGCTTTTCCTGTGCATGTTTTGCATAGCTGCTTTTTAGTACATTTTAGATAGTTTATATGGGTTTAGTAGAAAGGCAAATGGTGATCATTTTAATTTGTAAAGAGACAAAAATAAAATAGGGGAAATTAGAACAATGAATGAAAGTTGAAATGGATACTGGGTATGTATTGGAAAGAGATTAATCCATTTAAAGTGAAATCGGGAGTGAATAATTAAGTCCTAAATGCAGATGTCCCAGTAAGAAGTAGAATGATTGACAATAGAAGAATGTTACAGTGACAGTAAGGTAGGACCTCTCTTTGGCTGGCTTCTAAAGAACAGTTGTGAACAGTGTTTACTGTTGAGATCCAAAATGTTATGGCTAGAAAACTGTTCATCCTTGTTGGGAAAATGAAAAGAAAACCAGAGATAAAAACAAAAACAGACAAACAAGTCAGATTCATTAATTTTCAGGTGAACAGTGAGAAAGAGTTTAAATTGAGTGGGGCATGAGTGTTTGATGGAAGAGTAACTATTTTCCTGTGGAGTCAAAAAAGAGAAAACCAGTGAGAGTGTGCAGAAGGATCACAAACTGAACAAGTAATTAAGTTACAAAGGGTGAAATCTATAGCCACAATGCAACTATACATTTCTCACTTGCATGTTAGTTCCCCAAACACACTGAAGATAATGCTGACTCAGTCTAGGATGTATGAGGCAGAAAGAAACTTTAGGGATCTCATAGCTGTGTCGTTTCCCTCGGGTCCTGAGGTCCCTGGCTGGCCGTCACTTCTGCACTTTGCATAGTTTCTTATGAGTGTTTTGTATATGATGTCCAGATTTTTTAGCTGTACTAGCAGGAGAAATAGTAAGAAGTATAGTAACGATGCTCTGGTCAACAATGGACCACATGTACGATAGTGGTCTTGTAAGATTAATACCATATGTCCTAGGTGTGTAGTAGGCTTTACCAGCTAGGTTTCTGTGTTCACTCTCTGATATTCACACACAACGAAACCGCCTAATGACATATTTCTCAGAATATATTACCATCGTTAGTGACACTGGACTATACTTATATTCCATCTTGGTCCAGAATCACTTATATTTTTAAAAGTCCCTTTTTGGTCCTTGGAAGTTAGGATGGAAGCTTCTTGAATTGGTAGCTTTGCAAATGTAGGGGGATGCCAGCTTCAAGATTGCTATGGATTCTGAGGCACCATAGAAAATAACTGTAATAATAGTTACGTTTACTACATACCAGACCCTCCTTGAAAGCACGGTATAATTTCTTCTGTGCCCTATTTCTGTGAAAACCCTATGGGAAAGGGGAACTAGGGCAAAGAGATTTGCAAGCTTTGTTTAAACCCTCAGACAGTCTGATTCCAGAATCTGAACTTTTTAAGCGCTGTGTTCCCTCTACCATTTGACAAATAAAATTTTTTTTAGGGCTCTGACATCCTAAATTGGGAATCACCAGCAAGGGATTAAGAAAATTGATAATGGAACCACATGCTTAAAGTGATAGATTCTGAAGAGAATTCTGTATGTGAGCCAAAAGGAACTACAACTACAAATTTAAAATTTTCCCACATTTCTCCTTTGCTTTAGAATTAATTTTACAGCTTCTATAATTAAGGAGTAACCCAACACTGTGAGTTAAAATCAGAGTAATAACTAAACTCTTCAACATAAAATTAATAGTTCTTGACAATATAGTAGTCTGTGATGTTATTAGGTTGTCATGAAAACTTAAAAACTACAATTTGAAAGTGGGCTTGACTGCCCAATGTACTTGTGTATTTTCCTAGACTAATGCAGTATAAGATTGTGCTCGATTTTGTCAAGTTTGTAAAATTCGTAAACTTTCTTTAGAGTCAGGTCCAAAGCAAACTGATGACTAACATTTGCTACCTAGCCATAGCTTTCTTATTTTCTCTTAATTCCTTGATAGACACAATCACACAATCAGGTAAGGTGGCATATTACTAACAGGATTTGGTAATATGTAGCAAAAAATCTCATTTATCTTTTTTACAGTTTTTAGGGTTAGTGGTTTTATTTTCTGATTTTCATAGTTTGATGTAACTTTCCAGGAATTTCTTTGGAAAATGTACTGTTTTGGTTTGATGAGTTTTAAAGCCAAAGACGTTTTGGGATACCTTTGCCACAGCTGAAGGAAGCCAATACTCATGAAAGTACCTTGTGAATGTCAGCAGTATGCTAGTTGGTCAGTGTGGCCCGTGCTTCAACTGGAGTTGTTTGTTTTGAATCAGATACTATTACAAGTTAAAATAATACTACCCTGATCCTTTTTCTTTTTAGGAATGAGCCCAATAATAGTAATGCATTTGGGGGTCACTGTTATTATGCTGTAAAAATCAAACATTTATGAAATAACAAAATAAGAATTGTTCAACATACAATTAGACACTGGGTCTGGTTAATTTTTCCATCAAACTTCTTACAAACTCAGGCTTTTGCAGTATTGCTTATGAGCTTTTCAACGTTTCATAGTCACTAGGGATAAAAATCTCTGTAGTCTTGCCAGAGCTTTAAGTTCTTAAAGGTCTTTTTTGTCTTTATCAGAATCGTTGAACATGTGAACAAATGGTGTTTACTGAGTTGTACAGTACATACAGGCTGTCTTAAAATGAGGCTGCTGGGTGGCTAGTTAGCTCATGTCGCTCAGTTCAGCATTTTTTTTTTTTAAAGATTGGCACCTGAGCTAACATTTGTTGCCAATCTTTTGGTTTTGTTCTTTGTTTTTTTTTTCTTCTTCTTCTCCCCAAAGTCCCCCAGTACATAGTTGTATATTCTAGTTGCAGGTTCTTCTAATTGTGTTATGTGGGACATCGCTTCAGCCATGGTCTCATGAGCAGTGCTAGATTCGCGCCCAGGATCCGAACCGGGGAAACCCTGGGCCACCAAAGCAGGGGGTGTGGACTTAACCACTCGGCCATGGGGCGGCCCCTCAGTTCAGTGTTTATCATATCATCAGCTGTGCACTCAGGCCGCTGTAACTGCACTGAATTTGTTCCTCTCCTATATGCTGAAATTGAACAAGTTACCAAACTCTGTTACTCGATTCTCTGTTGGTCTCCAGAATTTATCCCTCAAGTTCATTCCCACTTTCACAATCCTATTCAAGGCTTCATCCTTGCATGACTGGATTTTGGCACAGACTTTTAACTGATTTCTCTTCTTCTGGTTTTTCCAACCCTCTGCAGGAAAGGTGCTCTGAATTTTGAGGTACGTGGTAGTAGGTACATTATAAGGATGCAGTAAATGCTTATTGATGGGTTAGAAATGAGTTCTCAGAGGTGGCAAGTGAGGTGCTTCATTTGGATGTTGAGACTTCT